GGCTAGTGGTTTTCAATAAAAGAATTCCCTTATTTCTATCCAATTCCTTGCCAATTTCAGGATTGATATGTGTATGTTTGGCTGTTTGGCTGTGGAAAACCTAGGTACCTAACAGATACCCGTTTATTTATCCAGTTTGTTTCTGTTAGTTTTCTTTTTTTCTTTTGGATGGATAGCTCATTCATCCTCTCTTTGTAATTTTTTGATGACATCAATAAAGTTATCAGTGTCTTATTAAAAAAAAAATTAAGATGCCTGTTTACGAGCAATCTTAATATTGTTGTTTACCTTTTTTGCGCCTTGCTTGATGAATTCTGATTATTGACTAGTTTTCTCTCCTCTCTCTCTTCTCCTTTTGTCTCTTTCTGTATCTAGCTTATAGTCCCTCCTCTCTTCACATTGGAGTTATTTCTGGTTCCTATATGTGTTTGAAAAAAATCTCTTTCTTTAAAAAGAAAAAAAATATAAAAAGAAAAAAAAAGGAAACTTGGCCAAAGCCGTCGTTGATAAAGAGTTTTATCTTTCCAGGTTTTTGATTGTTGGTTTGAGAGTGGATCCATGCCTTATGCTTATATCCACTATCCTTTTGAGAACGCTGAACTCTTTGAGAACAATTTTCCGGGGCATTTTGTGGCTGAAGGCCTAGACCAGACTCGTGGATGGTTAGATTTCTTACTTCCTAGATATGTCTTTACTGTACTTTTCTGATTTGAGAGTGCTTCTAGTTATTTGTCCTTTATAAATCACAGCTAACATAAGAACATTGATGTCTCCATATATTGATCAGAGAACCGTAGATCTTCATTTTTCTACTTTCATTGTGCAGGTTCTACACTCTTATGGTGTTGTCTACTGCATTATTTGGAAAACCTGCTTTTAGGAATCTCATTTGTAATGGGCTAGTCTTAGCTGAGGATGGAAAAAAGATGAGTAAAAGTTTAAGAAACTATCCCTCTCCAATGGAAGTTATTGATGATTATGGAGCTGTAAGTTCACTCTACCACGTTTTTCTTTATCACTTGTATTTTCTACTTCGTTTATGCTTCATAAAGTATGGAGTTTAATTTCTCATTAAAGTGTATTTCTTATGAGCAAATGATATATGTTTTATTACTTCTTTTGCAGGATGCGTTACGGTTATACCTCATAAATTCGCCAGTTGTACGTGCAGAGCCATTACGTTTTAAGAAGGAAGGAGTCTATGGTGTTGTGAGCATTTTCACTTCATCTTTCGTTCTAGGCTTTTCCCCTTTGAGTTGTACCTGATTTTATTATAGCCATCTTAAGACTTTTTGGTAGGAGGGAAAATTGGAAGATAGTGGATGGATTTTAGGACTTGTGGTTGTTCGTTAGGAGGGATGAGAGGATGGGTTGGGTGACGGATTTAAAAAAAAAAAAAAATCTTCTTCAGGACTCTAATTTTGTTCCAGAGTTGGAAGGATTGGAGGTGGTGATCCATACAAAACACAATACCTTTCCTTCCTATATTGTTCCCTTCTTACCAAACAAAACATAAAAGTGTTTGGCGTTTCCTTGTTACCTCTGAAGGATACACATTGGTTTCTTATTTTCATCGTTTCTTGACTGTTTACAGGTTAAGGATGTATTCCTTCCTTGGTACAATGCGTATAGGTTCCTTGTTCAAAATGCAAAGAGACTCGAGGTTGAAGGGTCTGGATCATTCACCCCTGTTGATCAGGCCACCCTTGAGCAGTCGTCCAATGTTCTTGACCAGTGGATCAACTCTGCTACACAAAGTCTTGTTTATTTTGTCCGACAGGAGATGAATGCTTATCGTCTTTACACAGTTAGTTCTCTATCACAGTTTCCAGTCAATATAGAAAACCAGGGAAGCATAAGGAGATAACATATATGAATTAAGAAGCATCTTTTATTTTTTTTTCGTCTTTTAATTTCTTCTGATTCTGCTAATAGTACTTACTCCATACCAACTAAATCCTTACAAGTACTTTTACAGGTGGTTCCATATCTTTTGAAGTTTCTTGATAACCTCACAAACATATATGTGAGGTTCAACCGCAAGAGACTGAAAGGCCGTACTGGAGAAGAAGATTGTAGGATTGCACTGTCTACTCTTTACAATGTACGAAAGTCATAAGTTACTGTTTTTGGAAATCTAGTGTTACCATTATCTGATCAACACCATTGTCTAATCATTATTGTTGACATTATTGTTGATCAAATTGCTTTTTTCTAGTCACTTTTTCCTTGATGGTCTGAATTGTGTCATAGCTTTGGCATTACAGTCCTGGTTAATTTTCCAATTTTTGACAATGTCCACAAAATCAATAGCTGGTGTCTGCACTTGAGATTTTAATTCTTGTCCCTTGTGTCTTATCATATTGTTGTTTCATTCTGCAATGACTGCCTACTGTATTTTTTTTTCATCAGAAAAATGAAAAGTTTAATCTAGGAGATTTCACATAATACTTATTCAACCTGTGGTCTGTGCATAGAATAGTTATTATTATTCCTTTTCTCTACATCTTCCATTACTATTTTTTTAAAGGCATCTTTCATGACATTAAGCTGTCTAACATTTCTATGTGTTTTCTTACGCGCTTCCAGGTCCTTCTAGTGTCATGTAAAGTCATGGCTCCGTTCACACCATTCTTCACTGAGGTTCTTTATCAAAACATGCGAAAGGTTTCTAATGATTCAGAGGAAAGCATTCATTTTTGCAGTTTTCCTGTAGCAGAAGGAAAGGTATGGATGGAATTTAATTACCCAGGCAGAATCTTTATAGCATCATTCCCCTTACTCCATAGGGCCTCAAATCTCTGTCATATTGTTTTTGTTTTTTCTTTGCTAGTGGACATCGTGTTCTTCTGTGTGTTTTGTATTCTTCTATTTTATGTTTAAAGTTTCATTTCTTATCAGATTTGGAAGAAGAAAATAGTGATTATGGCTGTGAATAGTTGTCAACCTTGAATCAGTCAGGCCTGTCCAGTCAGAGATTCCTATTCTTCTTTCTGAAATTATTCTAAAATTCTGGGAAAATCTTTCTGTTTTATACCTACACACGATGTACCTTAATTCAAGCTGTTTGTTTGTCTGCACTTTTATTGGCAATGTTTCTCTACGAAATATTCATGCCCAGTTATTATATTTTCCATTTTGTAAAATGATGTAAATATTGATTGCCTAAACTTATTGCCATTTCAGAGGGATGAACGAATTGAACAAAGTGTTTCAAGGATGATGACTATTATTGACCTTGCCCGTAACATTAGGGAACGTCACAACAAGCCTCTTAAAACACCCCTGAGGTGTGCTTTTTAGAATTGTAACCTTATTTTGTTTATCTGTATTTTCAACTCTTTATTTCCTTAATATTCTCATTTCATCTTAAACCCCCAATAACTCCTTTTGCTTTCTTTCTTTTTTTTTTTTTTTTGGGTGACAAAACTCCAGGGAGATGGTTATAGTTCATCCTGACTCTGACTTTCTTGATGATATTGCTGGAAAGCTAAGAGAGGTATGGGAATAGCTGTCCAAGCACATACCAAGCTTGATATATATTATATATGTTTTTTTTTTTCTGTACATGTCGAATTTATGGACTGTTAAAGTACTTCAGTGGCGGTAGATTCTATTCTCAAAGCAAGTGCTGTCTTTCTTAAAATGACAGTAATAGCTACTCGTTTATTCAGTATCTTGGCAAAAAATTTTCAATTTGTTTTTAGTTCTCTTTGCTTTGAGTTGAATCCTTGTTCATTTTTTTTTTTTTTCGGTGGAAGAGTGGAATCCTTGTTTGCCTTTTGTTTTGTTTTGTTTTTTTTTTTTGTTGTTCTTTTAGGAAGTTTACGTTTCTTATTGAATATATCTACCATTAAAAAAATATGCATGAGGCACATGTTCCAAATCAATGTTTGTGTCTTTCTCCAAATCTTGCTTTTCCTTCTTGCTGAATGTGTTTTTTTTTTTTTTTTTGATTGAATATAACATGATTATATCTGAGGTGATGTTTGTGTAAGCTGCAATAGTATGTAGTTTTGTGTTACGTATTTAAATTGCTTCTCAAAATTGTTTAAACTTTCACGTAGCAGTTTCTGAGGGTACAATTATTAATTTCCCAATTTGGTCGCCCTCAAACTTATACATTGTTGAATTTCCTCTACATTTCTGCTTTTAAAAAGTTGTCTAGTTTTATAGTAAACCTGAAGGTTTTGTATTCTCCAAAAAGAAAGGAACAAAAAAAAAAGTTGGAATAATGGAATTTTATTCTCCATTCTTTGTGCATTATATCGTCTTGCAGTTGTATGTATGTGATCTATAGTTTCACTATGATCAGCTTAACGTAGGTCACATGTAGGTGCTCACTTGTTCTCTTGGGACATCATTCTTCCAATAATAGCTTAATTCTTGTCATTTGTGTTTCAGTACGTGTTGGAGGAACTCAATGTACGATCTCTTGTTACATGCAATGATACTTTGAAGTATGCTTCCTTGCGTGCTGAGCCTGACTTTAGGTACGTAAACGAAGATCTTCAAGAAAGGTTTTCTGTTTATTCTCCATGTGTACATGTTAAATTGTATTTTGATGTTTGTTTCAGTGTATTGGGTAAGCGGCTTGGAAAATCTATGGGAGTTGTTGCCAAGGAAGTCAAAGCAATGTCACAGGAAAATATTTTAGCTTTCGAGAGAGATGGAGAAGTTACTATTGCTGGTCACTGTTTGAAGCTCTCTGATATTAAGGTCCTCATCTTCTGCTGCTTAGATACCATTGGTCTTTATAACCTTAGTTTGTATCTATGCGTCAAATTTGGCTGGCATTTGGCTATTAGTACTTTAGTGTGATTAAATTAGTGACAAGCGTGCAAGATACTGGCTGCAGCAGCAAGCTTGTTGCATAAAAAAGTTTTTTCTTGGGAAGAACTTAAAAACGTCACCTTTTCAATGCCATAAAGGGAAAAATTTGGTAAAAGCAACTTTAATCTTGGGAGAACATGTTTTGCAACATGCCATTACATTAAAGAAATTGGTAAAAGCAACTTTTCATGGTTTGACAATGCTGATTGCTGTTTGACCATGAAGCTCGAAATGAGCAGAAAGTATGTCCAGTTAGTTTTGTAAAAAGTAGTAATTTAGTTTTTCTTATTTGCAGGTTGTTCGAGATTTCAGACGTCCTGATGGAACAACGGAAAAGGAGGTTGATGCGGCAGGAGATGGTAGGGATTATTGGAGGCTTCCTGATATAATTCTTTCGGAAACTTGTATGCCATATGTTTTCTATGTGCCTCATGTTTTTTTGTGCCATATTTCAGGTGATGTTTTGGTAATTTTAGATTTGCGTCCAGATGAGTCATTGTTTGAGGCTGGTGTTGCTCGTGAGGTAATTTGCCTGCCAGCCTTCTTGAGTTCATGTAATGTAAACGAATCACGTATGACCTGTATGCAACACTTCAAATGTTTTATTCTGTATTCAATTCAAAAATAATAATAAACTAAAAATAATGCATTGTGATGTTGGTACAGGCAGGGTGACAATAACTGAGTTTCAAGTACATTGTTGATTGTTTGCTTTTCTCTAATCCTGTTAGGGATTGGATTTTCTTTTTCGTAATCATGATTTTTTCTGTTTTCATGTTGTGAGGAAAACCTGTCCTCTTTATCTTTTGTACTTAATTTTTTCAGCATAATAAGATCTCCCTTTTTTCGGCATAATAAGATCCCCCTTTCTGTATAAAAGAAAGTGTTTTCATTAAGAAGCTTACATATTTCTGATAGAGGTTTACTTTTTCTTTGTTCACTTTAGATTGTTAATAGGATTCAGAAGTTACGGAAGAAAGCTGCACTTGAACCTACTGACATTGTGGAGGTTTACTTCGAATCATTGGATCAAGATAAATCAATTTCACAACGAGTCTTACAGTCACAGGTCCTATATCTCTTCTTATTCACGGATTTTGCTCATTTATATTTGTTCATGATATTTGGGTTTATAAATTATGCGTATAATATATCAAATCTATGTACATATTTTATGTTCCGTTTTTTGTTAAGGAATTATGTATTTTGATTTTTTTTTCTAATCGGATACAATAGAAGGGGGAGGAATGGTTCTTCTTTTTTCGGTCTATGTTGGGCTGTAATGCTATATAAAGGAATAAGGGGATCTTTGAAGAGTTGGAAAAAATATTGGTGATTTGTGGGAGAAAATAAAGTTCTAGATTCACTTTGGATGCATGAGGACAAAGTTTTTGTCATTTAGTTTTCACATTATGTTAGGGAGTGTAGTTTATTACTATTTAGTTTTTATCACTGGGTTTCTTTTCTTTTTTTTCTTCATTTGTTTAGGTGGACATCTATCCTCCTCCCCACTTCATGTTTCTCTCTGATTAAGGATTTTTTTTTTTCAAACCAAATGAAAAATTATTCTAATAGGGGCAATAAAGACTTTAGCAGTCATTTCATTGTTCGAATTTGATAATTTCATTTATCAAGTTGTTAGAATTCGAAATTTTTACGATCAATCCCACCTGATTTGACCCTTACTTGTTTTCTGATTATGGAGTATAAAGTATTTGTCTTCTTATGTATTAGACTAAATGTATATGTGGTGAGAATTCCAAATCTAGGGTCTAGCTCTTTCTTTTTTCTTTTTTTTTCAATTTTTAGCGTGCCAACGTCTTAATTCTAAACTAATTGTCTGTTTTAACACGCAGGAGCATTACATAAGAGATGCAATTGGTTCGCCGTTGCTTCCTTCCGGTTTGATGCCATCATATGCTGTAAGTTGCACTCAATAACTGAATCGTATTTGGTCTCTCAAAGTCATATTCTCAAATTCTTGTTGCAGCTTGGGTGAAAGAATACCTAGGAAAACAAGGAAAAAGAAAAAGATGGATGTTATATTTTATTTAGGATAATGATAAGGAATCAAGTTATCTATTACTTTCATGTCGGTGAAGTGAATTGTCATTTTGAATCAGTGAATTTATTTTTGTATGAATTTTTGTTTTACCTTTAGAACATTAACAAATTGTTAATGTTACAAAAAAATAAGAAGATAACCCTAGCATTTGACCTAATTTTTCATAAATTGGTATGAAGCAAATTTACTTGACATTTATATTTGATGAAGTGGGCCTATTTCCGGGTGACACAAGTGATAGCAAGTTTTGGGAACTTTAATTTGACTTTGAATTCGACCTAATTTGTCTTATATACATAGATTGATTGATAGATAGAAGTTGTCTATCAATTTGACAAATATCTTTTGCTTTCTTCTGCAATGTTTTTGAAGATTTCTCTTGCATGCTTTATGCATTACAATTCATTATAATATATATATATATATATATATATATATATATATATAAAAGAGGTGATTTGTCTATTTCTTGGACCTAACAAACAATCCATTTTCTTCGCATGTCTGTCCATTATGGTTATATATATGCAACGCGTCTCCCTCTTTGTTTTCTTGATATATGATTAGCTATCATTTATGGTACTAATTGTAGGTAATCATTGCCGAGGAGCGTTTCCATGGAATTTCTGGCTTGTCATTCGTGATTAGTTTGTCACGCCCTGCTCCAGTGTTAAACTCAAATGCCGTACTGCCATTATGTTCGGGTCAGTTTTCTAGTCACTTGTGCTTATGTTCAACCAAAAAGTGAACCCTATTCTAATTTGCTCCCCTGGTTTGCCTCGATTTCTCTTACGACATGTTCTGTTACAGTTTCAGGAAATGCAAAGGTCTCCAACGGGCTGAGGACTTATCTGTTATCAAGAGATCATTCGAATTTGAAGTCTGAGTTTCAAAATGGAAATGGCAAGGTTGGTCCTCACATCTTGCACAATTTATGCTTCATTTTTCTTTTTTCCTCATTTTGATGTATGCTTCGGGGATTCAGATTTTCTGCCCGATTTTTGGTGTCTTAAATAGCATTTCAAAAATAAAATAAAATAAAATGGCGTGGCCATTAATGTGTTTGGTTAGAGACACCCAAAAATTGAATAGGGGATCTAGTCCTATGTTTTGCCCATAGTAGAAATACTAGCATGCTCTGACGAATTATTCAGAGTACTCACTGTGTAGCGATTACTCTTGATGCAGATAACGGTTGATTCCGTTGAAAATATTCCTTCCCTGGATTTAGTGCTAGGAGAACACGTGTTTTTGACAGTTGGGGACTTCTACTCTGCCACAAAATCTGGAAAATTTTGATTATTGTCTTCTTTCTCCTTGGGAAAAAAGTCTCACATTTTTGAAATTTCGTTCGGTTTTTGTATAGACGACGACAGAAGAAGATAATTTATTCTTTCAAATTGGATTATCATACAAGAATATAAAGAGATGCAAGAAATTCTTAATCCAGATTGGGTGACCGGATTTGATTTTCTATTTTAGAAGCATTTCTAAAGCAATGCCAAATTGATGTACTGATGCTAAATTTTTGGCGTTTGAGTGAAAATGTCACTCTCCAATGTAATGTTATTTTTTATGTTAAATTTGTAGCATTATGGTTTGAAACACGAAATAGAATAACACTCAAATGTTACTTTTACACTTTTTAGTGGCAATATAACATTGATGTTGGCCTTTGCATCGGTGATAGTCTTAGAAACCTTACGAGCCATCTTCGTGCTACATTTTGTTTGAAAAAGTACAATTTATTTATAGAGGGATTAATATTGTACAATTCATGAAACCTTAGGGTCGCAAGATGTGAACAAAGTGAGACAAATGCAATTCGTCAAAGGTGCTAGTGTAAGTTACCCTAAAAATAACAGTTTCCTAGTCTCGTTCCTTGGTGCACTTTAGCCTTTAGGTGGATTTGGCTCTTCTCACTAAACATAGGACCTCTTAGCGCTAATCTATGGACGACCAAAACTCATCCTGCCACACAAAGTTAGAAATCCTTTTTGGTTCTTGAGAGTGATTTGGGGTTTTAGTTTTTTAATTTTTTATGTTCATAACGTAAGTCCTTGCTACTCTCAAAGATATTTGTTAGGCAAAGGAAGCAACTTTAGTTGCTCTAATTTCTGAATATGAATAATGCCGGATTATTGTAGGAGAGCTTTCCAAGGGTACAGCTCTTAGTTGTACTTTAGAATAGCAGAGAAATCTGATGTACTTTTACGATTTGTTTAATTTGTTCAATTTCTAATGTAACTAAGAGCATATTTGTTTGACTGTATTAGAGCATTGTATTGTATACTAAGATAATAATATGATGTTCGGTATGACCATTACATTGTATAAATTAACATGGATGGTAAATTAATACGGTTTTATGTCATATTATATAATAGGGGTATTCACGGAATCCGTCAATCCAATTGATTTGTGAAATCCAATCCAATCTAAAGTTTTGGATTGGATCGAAAAAGTTTTGAATTAGACACGGATTGAGATTTTCTCAATCTAAAGGTGTTGGATCGGATTGCGGATTAAACACTTTTCAATCTGCGAAATCCGCGAATCCAAAATCATATATATAATTTAAATGTATATATGTATATAATATATTTCAGTTTAGTTTTAAAAAAAAAATAAAAAACTTAGACTTGGTTGAATAACTTTATGTCATATTTATGCTATGTTTATTTGAGTTATGAATGTTGCAAACTTTGAATTGTGATAAATGATGAAGATTTCATGTTGTGTTTTATTTTATATATGGATGTCTATTAATTTATGATTTTAAAGGTTGTAATCAGTAGAATCCCTGAATCCAATCTATAAAATCTATGAATCCGTGAATCCAATCCGCAAAATTCAAAAAAGTTTTAGATCGGACACGGATTGAGAAAATCCCAATCTGAAGGTTTTGGATCGGACACAAATTGACCTCTAATCTGCGGATTTCAATTTGTGGATACGGTTCATTTTTTATGTATTGTATTTTATTATTGGAAAAATACACAATATAGCATATTTCATACTTATCTTTGAAGTGAAGAGCATACTTTAAGATTATAATAAATTATAGCATATTCTCATTTTGTTTTTAAACTAGATAGTTTTATTTCCAAGTTACCCCTTTCTAATCTAATACCAAATGGTAACCTTAATCTTATTTCTCTCCCTCTCTCTCTTCCAGTCACGCCGCCGTTTCTCCTTCTCCGAGAGCAATCCACACCGCTATCACTGTTGAAGGCTGTCGTAGCCAAGCACTTCGTCGACACCGATTCAACCGTCGCAAGGCATCCTTCACCGGGGCCGATTCAACCCGTCGTGAGGCCTGATTCTTTTCTCTGATTCTTCTCCCTCTCTCTCTTCCATATGTTCTTCTCCCTCTCGCTCTTCGATTCTCTCTCTCCTCTGTCAGTTCCTCTCCCTCTCTCTCACCTCTGTTGGTTCCTCTCCCTCTCTCTCACCTCTGTCGGTTCCTTTCTCTCCCTCTCTTTCTCTCTCTCTCTCTGTGTTTCTCCTTGGCCAACCGAGACCTAGAGTAACGACAGCTGAGATCAGGAACGTCACCATCGCATTGCGGGTCGTAAAAAGCTTCTCCATGGAGGATCTGTTTTTCTCGCAGATCGTTAGATAATTTGGGAAGTGTCGCGACCGGAGATCGTCACCAAACTGAAATTGATGTTACATCGACCGCCAAGCATCGTTGTCCCCGGAGATCTTCATTGCGAAAAGAATAGATCTCCGACACTTGATGTCAATCACCGACTTTGTGGTGGTCGGCGACACTCGATTGGAAGCAGGTTTTGAGGTTATTGCAAGCAGGTTTTGAGGTTATTTGGTTGGTTGTTTGTTTTGCTGGATCTTTTGTATTTTTTGTGCATTATCTGGTGATTTTTATTTGAGTTTGTAAGTTTTAGATTGAGTTTGTTATTTTATGATTTTTATTCTTTTTTGTTGTGATTTGGTTAGCGGTGAGAGTTTTAAATAGAATTTAAAACGTTTGTGATTTATTTTTTGATTTTTAATTTTAAATATAGTAAATACTTCACTGAATTTAAGTTTGAATACGATAAATACTATATTTACTAATAAATACTTCACTAAATTCAATTTCCAATCTCATAAATACCGTAAATATTTCACTGAATCTAAATCTTGATATGTTAAATACTACATTTACCAATAAATACTTATAATTCTTGATCTGATAAATATTATTTTTATTAGTAAATACTTTATTGAATTCAAGTTTGGATATGATAAATACTGTATTTACCAATAAATACTTTACTGAATAAGTTTGAATATGATAAATATAATATTATAAATATGGTATTTACCGGTCACCAATTGCTAATGTTGGATGTAATACTGAGATGTTTGGTTCAAAGATTAGAATCATGAGATTAGAATAATTTTTTATTTACGAGTATTTTTTGTAAGAGAAAACACTGTAACGAATCATGAACCATGATTCAAATCATGGTTTGAATTCTCCAACCAAACGTCCCTAACAGACATCCAGTCCCCTTTTTCTATGTTTTTAACTGAATTAGCGTAGGGGCCTTTGCACCTCAAATATAGCAACTAAGAGGCCAGGATGATCAAAAGTCCAATTTTCAGTTTCTGAATATCTAGGTAAATGTAATAGAGCAAACTGAAATCTAAGGCTACCGATTGATAATATAGTCCTAAAATCAACACGTAAACTCAAGCAGCACCGGAAGCGGCTTCTTGACAAGCCTCAGACTCTTCAACTGTTGACGACTCTTGGGGGAAACTAGGAGATTTTGGGGTCAGTCCCAGCAGCTTGAACATGAGTTGATCAGCATCAAAATCGTTGTTGGGGGTAGTCAACAACTTCTCACCCGTGAAAATAGAATTTGCCCCAGCAAGAAAACACAGTGCCTGCTCGGGCATGGAGAACCGAACTCTACCGGCTGATAACCTCACCATGGCTTTTGGCATGACAATACGAGCCGTAGAAATCATCCGAATCATCTCCCATATTTCAACTGGCTATGATGCATGTAAAATAAAAATAAAAATAAAATAAAATAATAAATTTAACTGTGTTAAGCACATTAATACATTGGGAACAGAGTACAAATGTATTACAATTTACAACTCAACATTAAATGAACCAGACTCCCTCCTAGTGTTGTATTACAAAGCATATATAATAATGTCGCATCTTAAGGTATTTAGCGACTAAATTAAGCAAAATTATCAGTTAAAAGATTTCTAGCATATCGAATTCTAAAAAGAATAAAAAATTAGAAACTTTTTTTTCTTCTCTTTTGGCTTGGGAGAACAAAACAGGGCCCAGTTTAGGATTATTCTTTTAAAAGAAGCAGTGTTGTTACTTTCCGTATAGTAAAGGTAAAAACAGAAGCAGAAATTAAAGGCTAAGATGTTCAACTTATCAACAAAACAAAAAAAACTGCAGGTGCTTTTGATCACTTTTACTAGACAATTTGCATCACAAACTTTGCCTAGACGTGAGAGAAACTCAATTGAGAGAACATGAAAACAGACATGTGGCACGCATTGTACAGCAGTTTGCTAAAAACAACCCCTTAATGCCCTAGAGTTACCTTTTGATCTTGGAGAGGTGTGCCTTTCACCGCAATCAATGCATTGATGGGAACGCTCTCAGGGTGAGTGGGCAATGTTGCCAAAGTATGCAACAAACCAACTCGATCCTCCTCTGCTTCTCCAAGGCCAATTATTCCACCTGCCAACAGAAAAGTTAGTTGCTTAGATAAATGTCACCATGCTAACTTCACAATACTTGTTCACCTTTCTTCCCTGATTTTCTTTATGGAAGACATATAGAATGTACTTGAAAAATGAAGATTATTTGGCATGAGACGCTTAAGGTACAAATCACATCAAGGGAAGTATTAATACGATTAGCTTAAAAAGGCCAGGATCACATTAGACACTATATAGCCATTTGCAACTAAAACAAAGTTGAGTCTCAAATAGTCGCACCACGGAGCTTTTCACATACACTACTTGACATCCAATAATCATCTAAGCTCTACAATTTAACAAACATTGTGCACTTGGTCTATTATAATAAGCTAATATATCCATCTATATGCAAAGAGGTCTATAAGTTAGAGGAGAGATCTCACTCCTTGGGCAGAGACAGGAGCTCGTATGCCAAGGGAAATGTTCAGAAAAAGGTGGCTTGGTTAATTGAGATGGAATATCACCACGTAGATGACCTCTAATTGAAAGCCATCACAGAAGGACAATCTCCCGTATATACACATCTTAATAACACAATTTAGAAATAAGACAGAGAAGAAGAATTAGAAGAGGTTGACTTTTGAGTTCTGTAACTCACTAGAGACCCTAGAGAAGTTCCATCTCTCCTCTCTATATCTTTTCTCTGTTGCCAGTAATAATGCTACTACTGCCAACACTTTCTTATTTCTTTAGGCGGGATAATCCAAGAGACAATTGATCATCCATGTTCAACATGAACAGCTGAAAAGAATGCTGGCAATAAAAGGGCTCTTGTATAGTTGCATAGGTGATATTTTGATAGCCACTAATTGATCATTGGCCTATTGATATCCAAAATAAGTCTCAGATATTCCATGTTCTGCAGAAAACATCGAAATGTGGGGTAAAAGTATGCAAACTACCTTTGAAAAACTGCATGACTACAAGGGCCAAAAATTAACACGTGAGCTATAGTATAAGTCTCCAACTCGGTTAAATCCCAAATTAGTTCCTTCCCCTGTTGTGTACTCTTTTCATTATTTTTTACTTTCAATAAAAGGTTCTCATTTCTTATAAAAAATAAAAATAAAGAATCCCAAATTAGTTTATCAAGTACCTGAAACCTTGGATTGAAATAGAATGTAGTGTTCGAATGACAGCAAGGAGAATGTATAACTTCTTAACCCATTCCGATTTACATACTATGCAGAATGTGAGACAGCTACCACAGTAATGACTCGAAAGTCTAAAATCATCCCAGCATATGGGGAAAAGTGCATCAATGCAACTCTCATTTCCATATGCTTTTATAGTTCCCAGTTAAGCAAGGCATGTATCAAGAGTGACAAGAGCCCAACGTCCAAAATTAGCAACAATGAAGGAATAGCTGTTGACTGTTTCCCACTATAGTTGATGTAGAAGCACATTTTCTGTATTAGAAATAGCAAATTAAAAGCCAAGTTACCTGAACAGACGTTAATCCCTGCATCCCGGACATATTGAAGCGTTTGCAAGCGGTCATCATAAGTCCTTGTTGTAATGATGTTCGGGTAATATTCCCTGGATGTATCAAGATTGTGGTTGTAAGCTGTGAGGCCTGCTTTCTTGAGTTCTACAGCTTGGTGCTTCTCTATCATGCCCAAAGTGCAGCATACCTCCATCCCCATACCCCTGCAACATAACAGTTATTCTAATGTAAACTATCCATTTGACCAGAAAGAAAATTATTCTACAGCAGGATAAATAACGTATTTGTCATTATAGTATGATCTACAATGAAAGAGTTACCAAGCCATGCAAAAGGAAATTTTAATGAAAGCTAATCTTTTGCAGTAGGTGAATAAGCTCCGATATCATATCATGTTAACTCATGAACCTGTCGCGATAGTTTATGTAGCCAGATTACAGATATTATGATTAGATTTAATCATGACGAGAACAATGGTCTAAAGTCTTGCAGATAAATCATCTGCATTTATAAGAACAGATCTCTGGTCCAGCAGTTCGATTATTGCCTCCAGATTACATCCTATTACCTTATTTCTTTAACATATTCAAGGATCTGGTTGAAATTAGTTTTTCTTCCCACTGTCTCTCTCCACGCCGCACCCATACAAAAGCGCGTGCTACCCGCCTCTTTTGCCTGCAAAAGAATGGAACTTTATGTCAAAATGATACAACAAATGGGGGAAAAAAAGGACCATGCGCAAAATAAATATATAAGTGGAAGCATATAAATAACTCAGACCCATGCTCAAATGTTTTGATTGGATATGGGCATATGGCCATTCAATGAGATTACTGTAGGAGTTCTGAAAGCCAATAAAACAAAAAATGAAATATAGAATCGAATTATCAATTTAAATCCCCTTCTATTGTCATTATTATTAATTTTATAAATCACATGAGAGAGAGAGAGTTTTAGAGACAACTCTCTTGCAAATACACACAACTCTCCTGCTCAAATAAACCCACATGCAGGTTGCAGAACCAATCTAAAATGTCTCAGAAGTCACTTTATCTCAAAAACAATATAATAAAATCTCAGCTTTCACACTCTTAAATAAGGAGGCCTTATACTGGGCTTACGGATCGTGATGTGTCCTGCTTCTTATCAGCAGCCGTGTTAGCAAAAGAGTGAAAAGGCAAATCATCTACAATTATAGTTGGACAAGAAACCATACATAAAAACAAAGATTTTATCTTTCCTCCGAGTGATAGATTAGGTAGTTTCCGTGTCGAGGTCTATCTAACACAGCCAAACACGAATTATGCACACAACCCAATAGTCCAATTTAGTACTAAAGCAAATAGAAACAACCGAGCACGTATTATCTTAGCTCTTGATATGTAAATACAGAATGTAGCAAGATGAAATTGTGTACCTTTTTTGCTGCCCCCAAAACAGCATCCTTGTTCATAAGCTTTTGGGCTTTTAGTCCTGTATCATACCTGGATGACTGAGGACAATATGAACAATCCTCACTACATCCACCCGTCTTGATAGAGAGGAGAGTGCATTGCTGCACTTCCCTGAAATTATGAGCATGTCTGTGTACTTGAGCCTGGAAACAACAGGGAATGACTTAGTACTATTTTTCTTTTTTTCTTTTTTTTTTTTTCTCTTTTTGGATAAAAAAACTTCCTTTTTGATACTGAAAGTAATACAAAGAAGTGAGTACGAGAAATCTTCAAAAGAGTTAAGACAATAAAAACAGAAAAGAAATAGAACTGAAGCTTAAAGATAAAAAATCATGTTTAAAACCCGTAACTCATAACATCTAATCACCCCATTACATCTTCTCAATTCATAATATTACAAAAATTTAATTTTTAGAAGGAAATGTCTTTAACATCAAAACAATGACAAATATTCGAGCAAGACAGAAAAAAGATAAACAATTTCCGTATTTTCATGGAATATGGACGTGTTTGTTTTGGACAATATCTGCAAAAATATCATGTATCTATTTATCTTCACAACGTTTGCCGAGGAATATCACACCCAAAAAAAAAAAAAAAGAATAAACACATGCTTTCAGGAAATAAATTAATTCTAATTCTGATATTAAACACAGTGCGCCAGCTGAAAATGCATGCGATATTGAGGCACATCTAAAAAAGCTGTTTGGCTGGCAAGAAAATAAGACAGCAAAAAATTCATTGGGGGAATAAAGAACAATAGCGGAAGTTAGGTTAGAGTACTGACTCCATGGAAGAGAAGATCGAGAATGGGGGAGTCGTAGACGGCCTTGATCTCGTCGCGAGTCCAGTCGTTTCTCGGGCCGTCTTTGACGGTCCTCTCGGCCTGAATTGCAGCGGCGGAGGAGGATGAGAAATGGAGAAACGAAGAAGAAGATCTCAGTTGCGGACGCAGAATGGAACGAATCGACAACATTTCTTCTTGTCTTTTTTATTTTCTCGGGAAAATGGAAATGAGAGAATTTTCCCGGCAGAGAAAATAATGAGAGTAGATCGGAGCTGAAATATACAAATAATATTCTAATAAATAAATAAATAAATATAGTTATATTTATATAGTAGTTGTGTATTGTGTGTGGCCGAATTGCCAATGGCCACCAAGTAGGACTGCTCCCATAATAGCTGAGCCACTTGGACTAAGGCTGCGCACGCACGGGACTTTGTTAGTTGGCCAACCCACTTTTTTTTATGTTGTTCTTTTTATGGGTGGTTAAAAAAACAAAAACAAAAACAAAGGGGCGTTTCTCTAATACACCTCCTAAATATGAAAATACCGGTAGGTCTGGTTGAGTAAAACGATCGATTAAAATCGCACTTTTACTAGGGGATGAGATATGGGTACGCATCATTTGATGCGAAGTATGTCCCGTTTATTTCACCGATTTAAATTTTATTACAATAAAAAACTCTCAGAAACAGTCATATTTATTTTTTTTACTATAGTAAAAAGCTCTCACATAAAGTCACATCTTAACTCGAATTAAAAACTCATATCAGCGAACTAAATATGCTCATAATAAACTGCAGTCGACCTGTCTGACGTGGGCTATTTTGTGGAGAGAGGTGACCGGAGGTCTTGTCCGACATGGATGTCTTTCTCGAGAGGGTTGAAGGGCAAACAAAGAAGAAAAAGGTCCTGGGCTATTTTGGCAAGGAACATCGCGGAGAGGAGCACTTAGTACCGGCGAGGCTGCTCAATTTGGAGTCTGGTACTGGAGAATGATCCTCCGTTCTTTTTCGCATGAAAATACTTTTTTAATGTAAATATATCTCTTTATGAATTAATACATCTGTTAAAACAGTTATATTTTTAGCTAATATGTGTTTAGATATGTATCAAAATACATCACCAATTAATGCAATAATTCGAAACGTTTCATATCACAAATCACACACAAACAAGGTTTTTCTGCAAAAAAACGTGTAGTATACGCGCTGCAGCACCCAAAAAAGTTTGACAGCGCAGACGCCACTAAAAAATTTGACTTAATGATTAAAACACAATTCCAAGCTACAATTCAGATTTTTAGATATGACAATGCTAGAGCGTATTTTCATACCATACTTGAAAATTACCTTCGGACAATTCCTTGAACCAATTATAACAACAATTTTTTTTTTCCAAAATTCTTCATAAAGCGTAATGCAAAAATAAGAACAAATTTTGAGTTTTTATCTATGTTTTTGTTTGGGAAAGGTGTGTTAGTATTTATTTATTTTTATTTTTATTATTTTTTTGTTGACGGCTAGTGATTTAGGATTAGAACAAAGCACTATAAAGAGGGGAAAAAAAAAGTTACGTACCCTTCCTTTCGACTTAGCTGACGATCTTATATGCCTGGGCAATTGTAAAAGGTGGACAGTGATACCATGTTTGGAATTGATCTTGTTTTTATTTTTTTACGTTTTTAAAAAAAATAAAAAAATAAAAAGATTTTCAAAACGGTGTTTGACGCAAAAAAGACAAAAAATGAAAATAAAAATGATTTTTTAGTTTAGTGTAAAATGAGAGAGAAATGAAAAATAACTTTTAGTCGTTTTTTATTTTTTATTTTCGTTTTCTCCTTTCTCGAGCAGAGAGAGATATTAATGGATTTTTTATACTGAAAATAATCTCTTGATAAAACTCTAAACACACCCGGAGTGTTTACAATCAATTTTTTTTTTTGTTCATATCTAAAAGTTTTGCGCATAATTTTCTAGGTTTGTTCTTTTGGTAAGGGGAAGAAAAGAAGATAGAAGTTTATCTTTTTGTCCTTTTATTTTTTTGAGAAAGTATTATTATATTAGAGAGACCTGAAGAGTTTATAGTTTACTGAATGATAAGAAATTCATTTATACAAGCATTTAAAAAATTTTATATTTATTTTTTTAAAAAATATGTGTAAAGATATCAATTGATAAAAAAAATTAAGTAGGAACATATTTAAATAAAATTATTTTAACAAAATAAAAATAAATAAGAACACGTGAAAAAAGTTACTCTTATAGGAATAGAAGAACAACATATCTTTAAAAAAACACACAAAAATTAAAATGTAAAAAAAAATCACAAAAGTTAAAATAAAAAAAGAAAAAAAATTAGTGGAGTAGCAAAGAACTTTGAGTCTTTTATGTATTGTTAGATTTTATGTTTTTTTTTAAAATTTTCAATTAATTTTGTAAGACTTTATTTTGAGCAAATCAAATAGAAGGTAGAAGGATACCTATAATATGTGTTTCTAAAACTCAAATATAGCTATTTAACATTATCAAGCACTTTCTAGATATTTTAATATGATAGAAAGTACTACATTAATTTTATTCCTATAATATATACATATATATTTTTCAAAATTACAAATGATAATTACTCAACCCTTATTCAATTCTCAATTTAAACTAAGAATCTAATCCATATTTCCTTTTCTCACATTTTTTCTCTATCAAACATCAACTAAATTAGATTTTTGGTTTAAATTAAAAATTATGATTCAACTCATAAAATAAACAAACAAACATCCTTAGTTCATCTTAATTTTTTTTATTTATCTTCTACAGGTTAAAATTTTATAATACACAACACAAAACTGTTCCTAATTATAGATTTAATAGTCAAAATATTAATTGAACTGCCAAAACAATTTTTCCTACCAATAAAGACAAGAGACGGTTCCTATTTTAGAAATTCTCATTATCAATTTAAAAGTCTTCCCAACAAATGATTAATCACTAATGGGTGCAGAACAATGTTGTTGCGCACTAGTGATGCCGCTAATTTATGTTTGGTTGGAGGATTCAAACCATAATTTGAATTATGGTTTATAGTTCGTTATAGTATTTTTTTTTATAAAAAATACACGTAAATCGAAAATAATTTTAATCACATGACTCTAATCCATGAACCAAACGTTTAGTGGTGGTTAATAACACAGGCAATACTTCTAAGTTTGAATTCTATGGCACCATTCTAATAATGTTATTGGACATAAATAGTGCGTAGTATGGGGCATACTTTTTATTAGTAGTGGTGCTTAATATCGGGGCTTTTTTATATGAGTATTCTTTAAACTTTACGAGTTTAATAAATTGGTTTCATAAATTGTTTTCTTGATAATTCACTGCTTAAATTTTAAAATTTATTGTAATGTTAATTAAATTAAAAATAAAGTTACAATTTTGACTAGTTTCTTTTACGTGAGTGTTAAATGAGAGTAATTCTTATCTTTCTACATGGAATTGATCATTTTATACACAT